CACTTTCCCTACCTCTCTGCCCAGTGACCTGCTGGAAGAGGGACAAATTGCTCTTGCTAGAAATCACAGCTGATTGCTTGCAGAGAGCTTTTGAAATAAGGCTGAGAGCCACATAAAATTAGGCTACCGGCCAGAGGTTGACTGCAGGTTGCCCACCCTTGGTGTGAAGATGCAACTGCAGTCATCTTTAGAAGCTATTGGTAGTCCTCTAGTGAGCTGCAAATGCATTTGATCGAATCCAGTTGAGGGGGTTGCATCCTTCCTTGCTTTTGGAATTGCTTGCTGAATACCCACATCATTTTGCTATGCTTGCTTTTGTTCAGTGTTTAACTTAAGTCATCATATTTGTAGTTTCAAAGCTATGAATTATTGTGTGTTCATCTTTTCCATGCATAGATACTTTCCCCAGTTTTACACAGCATCTTGGCTATATTGTTAAAGATAAGTAAATGCAGATTCTTGTAAACATGTCTTTTCCTGTTCTTTACTGGAATAGGCTGATAAGAATTGATTTTACATTTGATATTACAGTTCTGTGCTGTGCCTTATCTCCTCTCCCACAACTACTGTGTACCAACGTCATGACACTTCTGAACACTCAGTAGATCCTATATGATATCTCCCAGGATGCAATGCATGAAAAGCAGGAGCATCAGAGTTACAGTTTGTAACAAATATGCAATCTTTTCAATGAAAGTGCTGTAAACAGGATTGTGAGCACTCACCATTTCCCAATGTATCTTGGACTGCAGCCAAGAAATGTGTCCTGATTTCAAATGGATTCATGCTAAAGCTACCATGCTTTCAGCCCTCTAAGCAAAATAATGGTGAATGGAGCATATAATTAGATATGAAGAAATAATTCCGAGAACTTCATATTTCACTGAGCTCAAACTCAAGTGCAACACAGGCTGAGTTTTTTTAAAAAACACATATTCATTCTTTCATTTTTTTAAAAAACCCAAAAGCTCAATTATAAAAATCAAAAATCAAACTCCTCTTCGTATTAAGATTACTTTTTAAAACTTTATAGAAATTTGTCAAAACAGACTGTTAGGACTGTAGTTAGTATTTTACCTCCACATTTCTTTCCCTTATCACCATGAGCTTGAGCTCAACCATTTTGTACCACGGCAGTAAAATGATTTCAGTTGCTCACCTGGTGCTGCTCACATGTGCATTTTGATTCTTGCAGAGGTCTGTCATAAGTGCCACAGGTATCACAGGCTGATCAAGTCTGTGAAAAGAGAGAGAGAAAAGGCAGGGAAAGGAGTGTTGAAACATCCCTTCAAACAAAGTGTGTATGAACTTGCCAGTGGGGTGAGGTCTAAAGAGGTGAGAGCTATGTGGATTTGTAACTGAGTGACTGACTGAACCCAAAGGCTTCCCAGGTTTTTATTGTCACTTTTAGTGAATTCTCTAAAACGGTTCCTTCTACCCATTAGGGTGGGCAATAGTTGTGGACCAGCAGGGCTTCGTGGGGCATAGAGGGGAGAGGGTGATGCCTCCCCCCTTGTGGCTGACCGTTGGCTTCAGCCTTGGCCGGCCGCAGTTAACAAAGTGTCTAAAATTATGTTATTATTTTGTTTTATCATGTATAGGAGAAAGGGCATTTCCCCCTCCATAAATAACACCTGGCTTAAAAACTCAGTATTTTGTCTGCAGAGCTGTAGCCTTTATGGCGAAGTTTTATCACTGCTGCCCCAGATGCGTGTGTTGGCATCACCTCTGCTCTCAACTGATCACCTTGGGCACAAGCCACTGTTAAGGTCTCCTCTCAAGTACCACTAAAATGAACAGGAGTGTAGTCACCCTCATGTTGCTCCCAATCATTTGAATAGGACCTTAGGCAGGTGCCTTTAACGGTTCATTGCGGTCTTTGATAAAAACTACCTTTCTTTGCTATTTGTTTTATAACAGATTTTTGTCTTGTTTTATCACTGAATGGTGAGAACAAAATCACAGTATGGGGTGTTTTGTGGTCTAGTTCTTGTGCAATAAATAAATATTTAAAATGTGCAGTGGTTCCTTCCCTCCCACTTCTCCTCAAAATGGGACTTGGAGACCTGGATTCTTGTTTAGTTGAAATATGTGACTTTGTCTAGAGACAGATGCAACCCTTAACAGAGGGTTGTAACTGGGTTTACTAGCTTGGTGATAAGTCAAAAAGAATTGGAACTATTATCCCAGGTGCCAAGCATCTGTGCTTTGCAAATGGGTTTTCAAAGCTGCAGCTTTTTCATGAACAAGGAGCAAAAAATATTCCTATTTGAGTTAGGAAAACCATTCCTCATCTTCTGCCAATTGCATTCACCATGAACTTCATATGGTACTCTTTTGATTGTACTTTGGAGAAAGAATAAAACTTCTTTAGACTGAAGAAATACATGTACAGCATGTGGGGGGTTTTGTACATATTTTTCCCTTAAAAGGGAGACCTGTTCCCCTCCTCCAAATACCCAATTTCAGTAAGGAAAGTGGTTTGCAGCCACTGTGTGTATCATTTTATTGCCTACAGTCTTTCATACATTTTATATGATGATTTATGAGCTAGAAGGCAATGCCATGCAATGCAGTTTTGCCGCTGCTCTGCTGGTTTCTAACCATGAAGTTATTCCTTCAGTAATTATGTCCCAGCTGCATAGTGCAACCTTTGCAACCTCCTCCCCCAGGTGAGCAAATGTCCCTAGGCAAACCTCTCTGAACCTCCCTAGTGTTCACCGTTGTCTGCATATATTAACGTGACAACCCAAAGCTAGGCTCTGCATTTTGTATCTGATGTACACAATGCCTCCCTTTCTTTCCTGTATATCTGCTCACTAGAAAGCAAAGCCATGAGACCAATGAATGCAAGTTCTTAAATATTGCCACTGAAAAACTCAAGGGAGCTTTTCTTCAGAGTATCCTGCTTCTGACAGAGTACCCTGTCACTTCACACATAATTACAGGTGGATCCTCATGTTTTTATTGTGGATAAACCACAATTTCCCCTGAAAACCTTTATGGGGCTATCATACATGTGGGAGAGAACCAGGGACGCGGACTTATAAAAAAATATTGGGGGGGCCGGGAAAGCTCATGAATAATAAATAAGCTCATGAATATGCAAATAAAGTGGCGCCGCCTCCTCGTGAGCGAATAGGGGAGAGCGTGCTGCGGCCTATTAATCAGCTCCAAAGGAAATTGGGTGGAGCTTTTGCTCGGGAGGGAGGGCAGGAGGCATGCAGCCCGCCCCTCCCTGTGCATTTTGGGCTGGGGGAGGGGCGGCGATGGCGCTCTGCTGGAGGGGCGCCGGAGATTATTGGGGGGGCAGAGCCCCCCCAAACGAATTTTTGAGGGGGCTCGGGCCCCCTCAAGCCCCATGGAGTCGGCGCCTATGGAGAGAACAAATGAATGAAGCAAACATATACTCATTTTGGGAGGTGTATATGCATCATGTCTACAGAGACCTTCTTCAAATGCTACAGAACCTCTGTGGAAATGTATTTCCTCCAGCATGTGAAGTGACCTTTCATTTGGGTGAATTATTCACTCAACAATGCATTCAATGGGTTTTAGCCAATGCTGCTCCTACTAATAGTCGACCCATTGAAATGTGTAAACCAAAGTTAGCCATAACCAGTAAGTTCAATGGGTCGACTCTGTGTAGTATTAGCATTGATTACAGCCCATGACTATTATTACAATTATTTATTTTATTTGTGAATTGCTTCCTATGAGGCATCTCAATTTTTTTATAGCAACCCCTCATCTTCTACAGGGTTTAGATTCCAAGGATTTGCATATAATGCAGCTAGTGGTTGAGGGGGTTAGAAAGAGAGCAAGTAAGGCCTATAATGTGTGCCTGCTCTGGAAGGCTAGGGATGCTCAAGCCAGGTTGACTTCCTGTGAGATATGGCTTGAGCCGAGCTTCCTCAACCTCGGCCCTCCAGATGTTTTTGACCTACAACTCCCATCATCCCTAGCTAGCAGGACCAGTGGTCAGGGATGATGGGAATTGTAGTCTCAAAACATCTGGAGGGCTGAGGTTGAGGAAGCCTGGCCCAAGCCATTATCTCACAGGAAGTCAGATTACCAGAACAGGAAATCCACACCTTCCCAGGAACAACTAACAGCATTCTAGAATCCTGCTGGATTGTGCTCACATAGTTTAGCTGTAACATCTGTATGGATTTTAAATTATAGTACAATTTTCCCCCTCCACCTGACAGGAACAACCAGTTGGTATCCCACAGTCAGTTCGCAGCAGAAAGGACAGGGCCACTATTGCTGTGAAGATGTGTGTGTGCATTTCTAAATCACATCAAATCAACACTGGGAGTAAAAATGGGGTGGCTTCCAGGAAAAACATGGGAATTCAACAGCTTGGGATGAGAACTGTTTGAACACTTGGGAGCAAATGAGTGCAAAATGTCAGCACAAGAGTGGGGAAAAGGCCAGTGTGGAAACTTCATTTATTATCGACTGAATTTAGTGCCACCTGGAAATAAACTGCTAATCTGAGGAGATCGCTGCCCCTGCTCCCTCCAGAACACAGGTTGTGGCAATCTTGGAACATCCTCGCAACACTGAACTCCTGAAGAGGAAGAGACTATGTGGGGACTGCACTCGACTTTCTCGATAAGAGCTCAGGAGAAGATGAAACTCGCCCGCATCCCTACTTGTTCGCGCAAACTTCGCGCGAGTCCCCCGCCTGCTGCTGCTGCAGAGATGGCGAGTGCCTTTTGGGGACAATTGGGGCTCTAAAAACCTGGAGCATCCCATCGATTCTAAGGGGCCGTAAGATCCTGCCATAAAAGCCGCCTCGTTTTCACGGAAAGCGTGACCGTTAAAATGAGGGTCATCTGGCATCTCCCGCCGCCCAAGGCTTCTCTGAACATCTGCATCCTTTATTGACAGCGCCGGAGAGGGAGGCGCTGGAGAGGCGGCAGTAGCAGGCGGAGAGAAAATGGTTCAGCCAGGACCTTGACAGCTGCGTGCGCGTGTGTGTGTGTGAGAGAGAGAGCGAGCTAATATGCCCTGCCGAGAGGAGCCGCCTCCCCTCCCCGCCGACTAAGTAGCCCTTAAAGGCTACGCAACTTTCGACGCCGCTTCCCCCCCAGCCCTTCAGAGAAGGCTTCCTGAGGGGAGCGAAGAACTCCGGGCTCTTTCCACACACTTCCGCGCCAGGGAAAGGAGGCGGCGGCGGCGGGCTGAGGAGGAAGAAGCAGCCACCTGCTTTCCTACTGGAGCTGCCTGGAAAAGGGCTTGGGGGGGGCACAGCGGAGGACTCCCCCCACCGCCTCGTCCACGAGAGCAGCGCGCGCTTTCCCCCGCCGCCAGTCCCTCGGTCCGCTCTGTGGCGGGAGCCCCGCTCGCTCCTTCGCTTCGCCCGCCGCGCAGTTTGGAGGCGCCCTCCGTCAGCTCTCTCCTCGCTGAGGGCGCCGCCGCCGCCGCCGCCGTCTTCCCCGGTCTACCTCTGGACCTGCCTTGCGTATGCGCTTATTTGTGCCGTTCTTCTTTGGAAGCCCCTTCCTTCGCCGCTTCCCCTCGGAGATTCCCTCCTCCGTGAGGCGCCTCGGAGGCGAGCGGAGCGGGGAAAGAGGCGCCTGGCTCCAGCCTCGCCGGCGCTGCCGCGCGCCCCTCTTCGTCTCCCTCCGCGGCGGCGGCGGCGGCCTCGGCGGCAGCAGCAGCAGCATGTCGAACTCGGGTCGGAAGGACTTTGACGTGAAGCACATTTTGCGCCTCCGCTGGAAACTGTTCAGCCACCCGGCGGCCCCGGCCGGCGGCTGCTTGCAGCAGGACAGCAGCTTCGAGCACTGGGGGCCGAGCCAGAGCCGCCTGCTGAAGAGCCAGGAGAGGAGCAGCGGCGCCTTCTGGAAGAAAGCTGCCTCTTCGTCGTCCTCCTCGCCGCCGCCGCCGCCGCCGCCTTGCGCTGCCTCCCCGCCGCCCCTCAACGGGACTTTGCTGCCCGCCACGCGGCTCCATGGACTGGCCGAGCAGCAGCAGCAGCGGCGCCAGCCGGCCCCGCGCACCGCTTTCTACGTGGAGTCCCTGGAGGAGGCGCCCGGCGGCCGAGGCGCGCCGGGGGAGTTTACGCGCGAGCGGGAGAAGACGCTGGTGCTGCGCGAGGTCAAGGAAGAGCCGGCGCCCTTCCTGGAGGGCGGAGGCCAGGCAACAGGTGAAGGGGCCGCGCACAGGTACAGTACCCGCTCAGGGGAGCAGCTGGCCAAACGAGGCTGCCTTTGGGGAGAGAGGGGTGTCCACACACACAGAGGCGCCTTCCTTAACGTGCTCATCCCCTGTAGGTTTTGGTTTTCTTTAATGCGCTGCACTTGGTCACCCTCGCGACGCCCCACTCCACGGGAGAGTTCATCGCACGTGTTTGCCCCCTTGATCTTCTTTGCAATAGGATAACTGGAGGGAGACGCGAAATAAGGCACATTCCCAGCCCACCTCTGCCAGATGCATGCTTTCTCGGGAGTAAGCCCTGCTGAACTCTGGGAGACTTCTGAGGCTTTGAACCTACTCTCCACCCTGCATGGCTGCGGTCTTGCTTGAAATGAACAGTTGGGTGCTGAGCATGTTCCTTGGAAGCGGAACTCAGTGGGGCTCACTCTCGAGAGTGCTTCCTTGACAGTTTACTGTGTCCGCGGTGCTTACTCTCAGTGCATGCATCAGATCCCAGCCTTCAAGACTTGGAAGCTGGTAGAACTTGAGTAAAGATGGGTAGGAAAGGGCTGCATATCCCTCTGAGTTCAAAGGGAGGGATTTAAGTGCACATTTAACCCTCCCTTTAACACCAGTGGCTCTTAAAATTACTCATCTTTGATGGATCATGCACTTAGCCTTCATGATGCCACAAGACTCTGGGGCTTTCCTCCATGGCAAAGAGTAATTGCACTTATGCTTCTCCACCCCTCTGCAAATGCTGTTTCAAATCTGCCAGTGTAACAGGCCAAACGATACAGAGTCAGTGAGGAAGAGTAATTTTCTAAAGTTGTAGGAGTGGACATGGAGCTCAAGTTAAACAGTTTCCAGATGAATAACCGGAGGAACTTTCCATGTTGCCCCATGTACTTTTACCACATGGTTTTAAATCCATTGCATGCACTTGGTGTTAACTGAAACCGACATTCCAAATTCATGTGCAGTTATTTCTGACTCTGCATGGACCCTGCGGTGGGATCAGCATATAGGCTACAATTAAACAATCTAGCTGATCACATGCACTTTAACTGTCGTTTTCAGTGAGAATTAATGACATGCTTAAATCATTCCTGTTTAAATCTAAAGTGTTTAACTTTGGATGGACTGTGACAATGCTGATTTGCTGAAGAGGGTATATAATTCTCTTTTCTCTTCAGTGAGTTTTACAGCAAAGGTTTTTGTTAAAATTATGCTGCAGGACCATCCAGGAGTTCTTCATTTGACAGGGATCACAGTAACAAAACTTTGTAATCTCAAATTGATTTGGTTGGTTTGATATCAATCTCTCTTGCTCTTACCAATTGCCTTTGAAGGATACTTGTGCAATACCTTCAGACAATTTAATTTGAGCTAGACTCAAGCAGAGTCCTGCCCCATATCCCCCCCCCAGTGCTTGGACATAAGTCTGGAACACATAAACTAATAATGTAAGGATGGGTGTGTTTGAATATATGCAGAATGCCTTTCTGCCATACCAAATAGCCACAGTCAGTTTGGAGACAGATGATGAAGATAAAGGCTTTAAACTTGTAGGACAAAGGGTACCAACTTGAACTCTGATTCTCTCATTTTATACCTAGGTTATGAATTTTAATATCCAAGCTCATATTCTCGATACATTTTTAAGATACATATTGTTACTGAAGGCTTAAAGATTGGACTGATTAGTATATGAATTCTAAACTTGTTCTACTAGGTTATTTGCTTCTGCTAGAAGTGCCAAAAGTTATTAAAGTCTTGCTTCCCAAGCATTTTAGTATGGGGCTCATATTAAAAATCCACTATTCAGTTAAAGCTCCATGCTCAGATAGAAAAGTCCTGTAGCCAGTGTTTGCTGCGTTGCCTTGTGGTACCCTCAAAGTTTCCATAAACATTTGGAGTCCATGTCAGTCAATCAGTCCCAAAAAGATGGAGCTAGGTTGCAGTACGTCAGTCAAGTGTCGTTGACATTAATGGAACTTCTGAGTAAATATGTTTGGGGTTGAGCTTCACAAGTATTTGCACTAATAACCATGCACTATTTCCATTTTGTCAGATGAAGTGTTCTGTTTGCATTTCCTTTTGATTAATTCAATAAGAGATCATGCCTTCCTTTCTCTCAGTATGTAAGGCTTTCAGAGTAGAAACTTTTATTTCATCTCTACTTACTTTAAATGTGCCCCAGTTTTTTCTCTTTCTGGGGTGCCTGAATGTTAAATCAGGACTGTTAAGAACATGTCTAATTGTCAACAGGCATGATCAAATAAAGTTAAGCCATTTTAAGTCTGTCATTTGAATGACAAGAGTACATGCTTAGATGTGCTTCTGTTAAAACCACAACTTAAGTGTTTCATTTTGGCTGGGTTACATCTAATCAAATGTGGAGGTACCAAACTTGCACAGAAATGAAAGGGTTTTTTAAAAAAACTTTCTGGATGCCACTCAGATTTATAGGAAGGCACCAGGCAGGGGTCTGAATTTTCAGCTTTGCAGTTAACCAAGATGGAACTGAATTGTCAGCTCCCATCTTAAAGAGCTCAAACACTTAAAGAATTGTTGTCTGCTTCTATCAAGAGATCAGTGTGTTTTGCTGGATATGACACTTGTTAAATTTGCTTCACTGCTAAGTCTGGAGTTCAGAGAGGTGTGATCACATTTAGTAGGTCTATGCCTTTCTTAAATACTGCATGTAAAATCCTAGCTTTGGGGAAATTGTTGCATGCTCCCCAAATTCTCCAGTGGTAATCTTAACTGTGGAACTATCAATGTACAGTAGTTGCCACAAAACTATCAAAAGATTGTTGCATCTGCACTTAGTCGCTATCCTTCCATGATTCTAGATAAACAACTGAAGTTTCTGAAATGACCAAGGACATAGATGGGAAAATTCTGAACTTCCTGAAGTTAAAAACTGTTGATTCAGTACTACTTGTTTTAGCAAAACTGGACCACTTTTGTATGTCTAGTCATTTTTCTGTGTTATTCAATTATCTTTGCTCTGAATACTGAAGGGGAACCATCTGTATTACCTTATTTTACCTTCACATTCTGGGTGTTAGGAAGAGAAATCGCTTACCGTGGTATATTGTATAAAAATATAGGTAATGTTTAGATCAGGCAGGAAGAAACTTACTGTATATTTTTAGATGGCAAAAACCTTCCAAATAAAAACCAATGAAAACCAAAAATTGATGTAATGTAATTACAGTGCAAACTTCTGGGAGCATTTTGGAGTACTTTACATTCATGGCAACTGCAGGTTAGAACAGTGTTATTTGTAGGAGGAGGAGTCCCAGCCATCCTCATGGTTTCATGGGTGACAGTAGTGCCTGGAAAATGCCAGATGGAAAGATGGTTACTGTGTTTATGGATATGCATAAAATAGGTGCTCACCTAGTCAGTTTTGCAATAACAAACAAACCAGCAAGCCACAAACACATTGTGGAACCTGGGCAAGCAGGGGGAAAGTGGCAGTGAGTGCTTCAGATAAAAGGCGGTGGGTGGGAGATGACAACCTCCACCTGAGCTTTCAGTCTTTTCTCTAAAAATACCTGACCTATAAGCAGCACTGTTTGGCAGCAAAACACAGGGTTAGGAATCCCTTGTCTGGTGCCCTAGGTGTAGTTCTGCGCAGTCTTTTATTCACAATTGCTCAATCACTACTTTAGTTTGGAAAGCATAAAAGATGCTTTGCTCTTTGTTGGAAAGAATGGGACAGACTCATGTGAATTGGCAGGTGGGAACCTGTGTGAGATCTCAGCCCCATTACTAGGCTTCTCACGTGAGTGGTCCGCTTGTGTGAGCAGTCATTTGTGCGTATAACAATATATGAATCAGTTTCAAGGCAGTGAAGCGGAGAAACTGATTTCATACAATTTGACTTTTTTATTGAAAAGTTTTGTGGGTATTCATGTAGTTCTCTTACTTTGGGAGCATCAGGGGAATTTGTAGCTATACTGGTGATTCTGCAAAATGGAAGGAACAGAAAAAGTGAAACAAAGCCTCCTTTTGGATGATCAGCAAGTTCCAATCATGTTTGGAAGCTTTGAACCTGAAGAGAGGTTCTTCTGTAGGCATGGGAATTTAGAAGAAAAATGTGAAGTGTTCTTTTTCATTTCTTGGTTGGATACATAGGTTAAATGCCAGCCAAAGTTTTAAGTTCCTTTGATTTCATTCGGACAGATGCAAGTACCTACCTGACCCTCCAATTGAAATCATTAGGATTTTAAAATCATCAAAGCTGCCATGGAATTTACTTCTCAACAAACATGTATAGGTTTGTACTGTAGGTTTGTATAGAATGATAATCTCAGTGGTCACTAGGTGCTCTGAGATCAAGGGAAAAGCTTGGGGGTGATTCATTTTTACTTCATTTCTCTCTTATTTATTAAATAATATCTTCAATACCATGACTGTTAAAGCTGGAAATGGGTGGGGATTTAATAGAGCTTTTTGTATGTTGACTCATTTTTTTGTTGCTGTCTCTGGTTAAATAGCAAACAACTTTGGGATATAAGAAAGAGAGTCCAAACTAGCCAATAAATTTACAGTATCTCCAAAATAACACCTTATCTATTTGAAATATTTTTAAGGATTGGCCACCACTCTCTTAAGAGTCATTGTGGCACTGCTTAAAAGCAACGTGGAAGTTCTTTTAACACTTTCCCTGGGCTGGTTCCCCTGCCACCCTGCCCTTTAACGCTGCTAATAGTCTCCAGAAGTCCTATTAGCATCACATGGCACCTGATGCACAGAAGCTTGAGGGGATATTCTGTAGGAAAGAGAACAGAGGAAAGGATTTTTAAGAGGGAGGCATGGCCATCCCAAATATGTTATTTTAAAAACACTATTAATGTAACTTATAGTTAAGTCCTGAGTTTCTACACAAGAATGAACTGTGGCTTTATCATATCATACTCAGTTTTCTTTTAAAAATGTTGTTTTTTGAAACAGCCAAACACAGCCTGAACTTGAATGACCAAGGAAAATGAATTAGCCATATTTCTGTCTC